CCGCCTGGGCAGGGAGACCGCAGCCGGGGGAAGGGGCCGGGCCGCCGCGTCCCCACCCCCACCCCGCGAGCCGCGCGCCCCAACTCCACCCTCTGGCCCCTGGTGACCACTGCCCGACTGCTCCGGGAGAGAGGGGCGCGCTGTTGCGCCCCTGGCCCCGCTGTCCCTTGGGAAGCCATCGGTTCTAGGACCTGCTTTGGGGCTGTGTGGGTTTCCCAGAGTGCGGGGGAGAGCACGCTGTCCACTCCTGCCTCTTTTGGAAGATCAGATTGAGAGGCACCACGTAGCTTCTTTGCTGCGTTTTGCTTGGTTTCTAGTTTTCTGTTTTGCCCAACCCCAAACTTTGTTCACTAACGTTCCCTCTGTTTACTTCTGGGGAGGTTTATTATCTCTGTATCAAACAGGATTGTAATGTCACGATAGCATTAGTTGCAGGGAGCCCCGGATTCAGACTGTTAGAATCGCAGAACGTCGTACAGGTGGAGATGCTTTTGGCTGGAGAGGGCAGTGAGTCCCCGTAGGTGCTCTGGCAGGAGTTACCCCCAGTTAAGGCCACTTACTGCCTCACCTTTTATGGTGACAGGGCTGCGTGACTAAATTCTTTCCGGAGGATATAGATGATGTTAACTTTGTATGTGTGTTTTTCATTTGACGAAATGTTTCCTGGAGTTTGGTTACGCAGCGTCCTTATTGGTGTGCCAAAGATGGAAGGAAGCTTTTATAAGGGAGTCAGAGTCGGGGGTGTCACCTTAGCCCTGAATACGTTTTAGGTGTTTCTGAGTGATGCCTAATAGACGACCTGTATCTTTTAAAGTGTATGTTGATATCGGTTAAAGTTTAAGTATTTTACACAAATGCAGCATTCCCACTGGGCACACGATGTAAAAAAACTCAATATGTATAATTATATCTTCATATTCTTTAGATCTTAGATTGAACTTTCTCTTGCTGTTGTGGCAAAAACAGCACCTCTCCAGAGGTCTCCGTGTACTTTATAATCACTGCCACCCCTAACCCCCATCACCTTGTTCGTTGGTGGGAGGTGGGTAGACCGTCCACTCCTAGTTTATGACTAGAAAATGGAAGCGTAAAGGTTGTGAATTGCCTGAGGTCATACATGAGCAAGTGAATTCTCCAATTGGGAAACAAACCATACCTGTGGGTTCAGTGAGCGTGCTATTCTCAACCCATTTCCTGTTTAGAAAAAAAAGGTGCAGGTTGCTGCCAGTGTTAATTTTACATACACACTTTTTGAGGTTGAAGCAAATCTGACTGGTTTTCAATGTGGAAGTAAAACACTATTCTTAGAATTATTTCTAAACAGAACTTGTCTCTAATCCTAATATTAACAGAAATGTGTACATAAATCGGATTCATCAGATGAATCTTCAGCTAACTGTTCGAGAACGATGTTAACATCACGCATAGGAATGCTATGTTTTCTAGGATTTGACATTTTCAGAGATCGAGAATTACTATATTTTGTAAATGGAAGTACCACTACTGAAAACAATGCTATAAATAGAATCGGTGTCATTTGTTTCTAAAGATTATCGATACACTAGAGTGATGCATAAAAAATAGTAAAAGCAGCTATTTCCTGGCAAACTTTGGGGATCAGGTTAGGACTGTAACCTGTGAGTTATCTCGGGGTAAATGCTGCAGTCACACACACCACTGGCAAGTATTCTCGGGGCAAATGGGAAATTTGGTGGTAGACTTTAGGGAGGCCTCCTCTCTTAATATCTAGCCAGGCATGTGAAGTGGCCCAAAGACCATGAATGACGCTTAGGTTTATGTGCTGTTTGCTTACTCTTACCATTGGTGGCTATTTGCTGGTCACCAGTGTCAGTTTTACTGGCTCTTTCAGGTACTTAATATACGGTTTGTGTCATCACTCCCATTGAGCAGTTGAGAAGACTGCCCTTCAGAGAAAAATGAGGTTCCCAGAGTCACCAGCTTGTTAAGTGGCGGATCAGGCCTTGAAACCAGATCTGCCAGACTCCACCACCTGAGCTGCTTCCACTCTGTCTTGCTTCCTTCCTGAGTTGGCCGATGAAACAAAGTCCAGGTGACTTCTTTTGAAATAATAATTCTTGGTAAAATATTGAGCACTTGTGCTGTCTAGGTACTGTGCTAGATGCTCTAGTAATAGCTTATCTCAATCATAATAACCAGGCGAGATGACATTGTCATCACCTCCTTTACTGATGAGTTTTAGAGATGTTGTCTGACTGGCCTAGGGTCACCTGGTAAGTTAGAGTCAGAGCCTACGTTTGTCTGACAACCATGGGCCGCACGTAAGCTTTTCATTGGAGTCCAAAGTGTGTGCGTGTGTGTGTTTTCAAGCATCAAAATTGCACATGGGTCTTGGGGAAAAAAGGCCGATCTTCGTGTTTATATTAGCCTTACTTAATTTTGGTGCATTTTATAATGTACATTATATAGTATCGCGGTAATACATATATAATTTTTATATAAATATACATATATTGGGGATGTATACTCAGATTTTTATGGTTGGGGTTCATAATTACAAACCTTTGGAAACCACTAGTTTGTTTGATATTTATGCATTTCCTGAATGCGTAAAATATGTAAAGTGTTAGACTAACCATTTGTTCAAGTAGAAGCCTAGTGAGGTTCAGTGCGATTCCACATAATCAGAGAGAATGGTGTTTCATATTAATAACCAGCAATAAATTATTCTAAAATTACAGTCATGAGAGTGAAAGAGGCTCCGGTATCTCAATAGTCTTTTCTTTTACCCTCCACCCTGCCTGGCAGTGGTCTTTATGTCTCACATACAGCACCAATCTTAAGTTTGAAGCTGTAGCGACTGATATAGCCCTTTGGAAGTTAAAATTTTGTTGGACCTCTTCTATTTGAAACCTGTTAATTTCAGTTAGAAGCCAGAGAGACTAAAATAATCAGTTCATGCAAATATGACAGTTGCAATAATCGTATTTGTGCTGTTCCCCAACTTCAGAGTATTTTAAAACCATCTTAAGTATTGAAATTCCAAATACACTGATTCCTTATCACTTTTTACAAGCTAGATTTGTCTTCAGTTCATTCCATTGCAGTGGTTGGTACATTATCTCAAAATGAGCAGTTCCAGGATTCTACTGAATTAAAAGAATATCTTTATCATCTTCCAGCTTGTCATTTCATAATTGAATAGATTAGTATTTGTTCA